ATTAGAAATTATTTATAAAAATTATTTTTATAGCCATTGTAAGATAATGTGAACTTCAGGTAATTACGTGTCTTAGCATTGCTGTGTGCCATTTGAGAAAAGATGGTCTTCTAACAACAGAAAGGATGATCTGTACAGACATCTCTAAGGGTTTGAGGTTACTCTCCCTAGCAACAATTACTTTCTTTGTACTGTAACAAGCTTAGGTGTTCTAACATACTCATACTATACTATTCAACTTTGGCCTGACCTGAGGAAGAAAGCCCACTTTCTTAAAAATCCTGCTCTGAAGACCAGGAAAAACACTGGAAAGCAGAGAAGCAAGAACACTGAGAATTAGTCATAATGCTGGGCAACCCCAGTGCTCTATATCCATTCCTACTTAAATGGCATCTTTTAGCAAGACCTCAAACATAGCATAGCTGGATGATTCAGTTATCTGCAGCCAAGTTCTCTCTCAAGTAACAGGTCCCAGAGCAATCAGAAATCCTATTATGACTAAGTGTAATGTGCTCTAACTATACATAACAGAAATTACTCTTTAATTCTAGGGGTTAAATTCATTTATGTCATTATTGTGCAAATCAGCTTAAGCAAGATCAGAAATGACAAAACTCACAAAAGCATGAACTTTTGAACAGGGTACCCTTTTAACTCCACCCAGTTGTCTAAGTGAAACTTTTCTTATAAGAGGTATCTTGATATAAACAACTACTATTCTAAACTTAATCAACTTATACCTTTTGGGCCAGGGCAAATCATAATCCTGCTTCTTTTTGACTCATGACCCATTATAATTGCCCTTTTTGGAATGGAAATCAAGCAAGAAAAAAACCCAAGAGGGTTTATGGGGATCTAGAAAAAAATGACACATTCTTCTCAAGCCTCTATCACACCATGCTAAAGGTGTAATCATTTGGAGTTAACCTTCTGGAAGTAAGCTAGAAGATGGCAAATCTTCTTTGACACCTTCCAGACAAAGTATTTTTAGGTTTTGTTGGCCATGTACTCAATTTTATTGTTATAGTACAAAGAAACCATAAACAACAACAAAGCAAATAGGTGTAAGGTGTAATTTTCTTCATATAAGCAGGTGGCAAATATTCATAAAAGGTTATAGTAGCTGAACCCTGATCTGACTTGTAGCCTTAGGGATCTGTTTTGCTGAGGGCTACTCCCAAAGTCAGTGATGTATCTGGCAATAGCTTGCTGTTCCTTTCCTAATTCAGCTATGAAAATATTTTAGTATTTTAAGTTCTTTTCCATTGTAGCCTTATGGAAACAACTCCATTCCCAAAGACTGCTCAATAAAGACTGCTCATTCAGTATTGCTGGGGTAAGTAAGTGTACAAATAACAAAAGGGCATATTTGGAAGAGAAAAAATAAATTACACCTGCTTACACATTGGAATCCAAACCTTTCTCATTAAAGAGCTTTTCTACTACATTAAGAAGTCTTTCCTTGCCAGGCAGTGATAGCGAACACCTTTAGTCCTAGCAGAGGCAGGTGGATCTCTGAGTCTGAGGCCAGTCTGCTTTACAGAGTGAGTTCCAGGGCAACTAGGACTACACAGAGAAACCCTGTCTTGAAAAAACAAAGAAAAGGAGAAAAAAGGAAAAGAAAGTATTTCTTCTTGCACTTTCCACTGCTTCTGTTTCTTTGTTATTAGCCTTCCTGTTAAACAAAAAGTGATTATACCAGTGAAAGGAACAACTAGTGTAAGCTAGTAGTGAGACTGTGTAAAAGGTATTTCGTGGACAAAGGACTACTCAGCTATTAAAAATGAAGTTCCAAACATCACTCTTTCACCAGACAATTCCAAATGAAGCTGGATTTCCACTATGAAAACAGGGACAATCTATGTTTACTTTCATACCATCTTTGTTTCACTGATGTCAAGGGAACTGGAAACAGAAAAATGCAAAAATACAAGAAAACTTTTCTTAACTGCTTTCTTTCTTCTTTGTCTTTTTACAAACTAAATCAGTTTTATGTAGTCCAGATTAAATTCCTTAGTAGAAAAAAAATGGAATGGGGGCCAGGTGTGGTGGTACATGCCTATAATCTCAGTACTTACAAGGCTGAGGCAGAAGGATTCCTGTGAGTTCAAGGCCCTGCTGAGCTATATAGTGAGGACTAGAACAGCAAGGGGCTACATAGAAAAGACCTGTCTCAGATATTGAAAACAAAACAAACCCTGGAGTTGCTTGGAATTTACATAAAATTCAACTCAGTTTAGAGGTAATTATGGTTCTGAGTAAAAAGAGAAGAATTCATTAGGAAGAGCCTTTCTGAGTAAATACTGTGTTACTGCCATGTGAATGCCACAGTTTATATCAGTATCAGAATTCAGAGAATAAAACGTCTATTCAAAATGAAAATAGATACTTATATGGTCAACTCTCTGCTTTTGATGACAATATTGGATAGCTCCTCTGCTAAGTGCTATTCAATGATAATAGTTCTGATACTGCAATTTCATGGCATTAAGTTACCTACTGATTTAGCTCTCACTGCTAATGCAGTTCCCCTCACAAGGTGACGTGTGCAAGTCAAGATTTGGTAGTAAGTTTCAGCATCAGCTCAAGTCCATTTAGTACACCCTTCATGAGTATACTCCTTGAATACACCAACATTCATTAATATAGATAGTATACTACTAACCCTTATGATGCTACAGTAATGCTAGCAGAGAAGTAGGACAATGTCACAGTGAATCTGGATATGAATCCTGGATATTTAGAATGGTATTATTTCTAGCTAAAACAGATGATTATTTTTGAAAACTTCAATTTGCTTCAAAGATAGCCTGGCTAGAAGTCTCATGAATTTCATGGCTCTGGCTAGGCCAATTAGAGGAGAGACCAGCAAAGATGATTGTGCTGATGTGGTTGTAGGACTGGAAGCACTCTATTCACAGTATCAATTCAGTAAAAACCTATTAGAAATGAGTGAAAACAGAAGGGAACTTGCCAAACATGCCTCACATCTCCACATGACAACAGTCTCTAACCTATTCAAGATGTTGGTGGCTGACCTTGGATGGAGTGCTGAATTTTTTAAGTGCTCCAAAGTTACTCTCTACAGAATTTACTGCACTTGAACTATACAATTTGGTAATAGTTAAAAGTTCTATTTTCTCACATTTAACCTAAAAAGCTAACAATGCAAAAAAAAAACAACTTTTCAGCATACAACTTTCCAAAATAAGGGTAGACTTAGAATATTTTTGGTTGCATTTAAAAAACAAAAAACAAAACAAAAAACAGAAACACTCTAAAACAGCATCTTTTGTACTTACCAGCTACCTGCCTGTTCAGTAATTATAGAATATGTCCACCGAAAGCTAGAATGTTTCCCGAGAACTTCACTTTTTTTTTTTTTTTTTTTTTTTTTTTTTTTTTAATTGCCACAGAGCATAGTAATCTCTACAGTGGCTCTAGGAGACAGTTTTCACTCTATCATGCTGTTGCCAAACTAAGTAGCAAGTAACCTGCCTGTGATTATCAAAGACAAGACATTACTCTTCAGTGCTGCTTTTAAGGGCAGGCTCTTTGATCAGAGCACCATAAAACTCCTTTAAAAGATGAATTTCTATACTTTTTCAGAAGAGAAAACCTTCCTCTAGTGATACAATATATACAATTCTCAGATTGCTTAAAGCTACCCTTTGCATTCCAGTTTCTAATCATCAAAAGTGTATTTTCCCCACCTTTCCATACTATGGTGCTCATAAGGAAGGAACACAAACTTCACATTCTCATAAACGGCTCACTAGTGCAGGCAGGACCAGCCCCACTCCCAGATCTCTTAGAACCATCCACATCCCTGTACCAAAACAATTACTTAAAACATTATACATTTAAATATTCTTTAAAAATTACTCAAGAGAAGCTAGAGACTTCTATTTGCACTGTAGACTTCAGGCATCTTTTTACCTGTATTATTTAGCATTCCTACGCCTCTCTCTGCATGCAAGACAGGGCATATAAAGCTCTATGTGTTTGGTAAATTCAGAGCTGGATTAAGAATCTCAGAAAAACTCAAAATCATTAAAAAAGTCCCTTGAAATTTCAAAAGTCTTAGGAATGATTATGTACCCATACCTGATAAAAATTGATCCCTTGATTATTTATTGCAACACAGTTGTGCAAGATAGTTTCTTGTAAGTGAAGTGCCCTGTAGTGTATTATTTAAAAATTGGTTTATGAATTATATATAGATTTGCAAATCCAAGACATAGATTTAAGTGAGGTTATTCATTAGACTGAAAATATAAAGTACAAAAGACGTAGAAGGAAATGAAACTGTGGTTGCAATAAGAACAACAGTGTTGAATTTCTCTTCAACTACAACACTGCAGGGAAAAAAAAAAAACCTGTTAAAAAACTTCATATAAAAGTTATCAAATGTAGAGACCTGGGGACTTAAAAATACAATCCAGGATCTTTTCACTGAAGGTGACATTTCTGATGTACAATATTGCTGTTATATAAAACTAGGAGCTGCAGAGGATGACATTTTGGTAGTCAGCCTAACAGGATAACTCACACAACTAGAAACATTTTTCTAACAACCAAGGATGTACCCAAGTATTATGGTTTACAAACACCAATCAGAAAGCTGCAGTTTGGCTCTGCACTGTACTATTTGCAAAACATGAACACTTCCTTTCCTGCTCCCCCTTCTCAAGCTCCCACATGTAGAAGCGCTCACTGCAAGTGCTGGGCTGCTCCCTTTACTTCTACCTGTTTGCATGCTTCAGATGACGCTGCTCACCATACTACTGCTCCAACGTAGCCAATCACATGAAACATCCAGGCAAAGTGGTAGATGCCTCTCCAGGGCAAAGACAGTCTAACCTTTTAGAATAGTAAGAACCACCAGTATTCATTTCTTTTTCTTAAAATATGCAAATGCATGCTCTGGCAGGAAACAGAAAAGAAAGATTCCTCTTTCTACCATTGTGACTACATTTGCCCCTTCTGATAGGCTGCTTCAGTTGGCCAAAGATCCTGCTGCGCTTATTTTTTTTTAAAGGTCTAGGATTTCACCCACCAAGATGATATGGACCTACGTACAGTGTTCAATCGTGACTGGTAGATAAATGACCATTTACTGATCAGTTTTGTTAAAAACATTTTTTTCTTATAAAGTTAACAAACCAAGGCTGTTGATCCCTGAATTAGAAGCTGATTTGCTTGATTATTTTCCAAAGTGTGAGGTGGGAAAGAGAAGAGCCTTTAGTGCTTGCTGCATGTTGACCCTCTAATTTGGCAACACCATGGGAACATCTTCTAGTTGAGCAATGTGGCATTTTGTGAATCGAAGTACCAGCCCATGGTCCTGATATGGGCTGGTTGCGGCCCAAAGGGGAAGAGGGTCTGCCTCCGCCCCCTCAATGTTTCAATCTGGCCCAGTAGTAGACACTGAGCCCTGGGCAGATTCTCCAGGAGCAACTGTTTCTTCCTGTGTAGGTGACCCTTCTTCAGCTTGCCGAGATGTGACAGTTGTTTCAGGAGAAATGCTATGAGGCCCTTCCAGGGGTATAATACAGCCAGGGTGGTTTTTTCGAAAATGCTGATTCAAGATGGCCTGGAAGGGAAAACTTTTGCCACAAACGTGACAGTGAAAGGGCTTGTTGCCTGTGTGCTTGCGGATATGATATTCCAGCTGATCTTTCCGGGTATACTTTTTTCCGCACATTCGGCAGACAAATGGTGTGATTCCCATATGCAGGCGCATGTGGCGGTCCAGACTTCCCTTTTGGTTGAAAGATTTGGCACAGTAGATGCAGGTGAGACGGGGATTATACCGGAACCACCGCTCAGATACTTCCTGTTCTCGGAGATATTCCACATAGCCACTTACTCCCATCATTGCTGACTCTTCTACCTGCATCAGAAGAAAATAATGACTATTATATAACATTAAGCATATATGTTAAAAGCAACCCTATCTACCTATTCCTGTTACTAAGATGTGTGTGTCTGTGTGGTGTAAGGAATAGAATGAGGGCCTTGTGCAAGCTAGGCAAATGCTTTACCCCTTAGTTACAGTCCTACCCCAACACACTTACTTGTAATAGAGAGCATTAGGGAAATTCATTATTACCAAAAAGTAAATATATTAACATAATAATGTAAGAAGGATTCTGAGGGGAGTTGGAGAGATGGCTCAGTGATTAAGAGCACTAGCTGCTCTTCCAGGGGACCTGTGTTCAATTCCCTGCACCCACATGGCAGCTAACAACGGTCTGTAACTGTAGCTGCAAGGGATGACACCTACACACCAATGCACATAAAATAAATTTAAAAGAAAAAAGAGAACTTGGCAACAAGGAACACAGTTTCAAAAACAAAGCAAAACAAAGAAATAGTATTGAGAGAATTCTGAGATTATTTATTCCAATGCTGTAGAAAGACCAACACAGAGGCTGGAGAGATGGCTCAGCAGTTGGAAGCACTGACTGTTCTTCCAGAGGATACAGGTCCAATTCCCAGTACCCAAAAAGCAGCTAACAACTGTCTGTAACTCCAAGATCTGACACCCTTACACAGACTTATATACAGGTAAAACACCAATGCAAATAAGGTGAAAATAAATGCATTTTAAGGAAAAAAAAGAGCAACCCAAAGTTCTGGTTGATGAACTGAATCCTTCTTAAGCCTCTGCTACATTTGAGATGTAGAAACATCAGGATTAGGAGTTTAAGATTATTGTTGGCTACATAGGGAGTTGAGGACCAGCCTGGGCTACATGAGACATGTTCTCAAAAAACTAAAACCAAAAGTCAAGCTTTTTCTTTAGTACTATTTTACAGTAATAGGAATATGAGCCCATAGTACCATCTCTTGATTCCATCCTTACAACTATATTCTAGAAAATCACTACAGAGTATATAGAACTTTCTGTGATGGAAATGTTCTATACTTTGAACTACTCAATGTAGTAACTATTGGCATTTGTCATATGCCTAATGAAATTGAGAAAAACTCTGAATTGTTTTAAACTAACTAAAACAAAATTAAAATGTGGCTTATGTCTACTATATATGAAAGTGTGGAGTACATAAAGGCAAATATAGTAAAATTTCCTTTATGACATTATCATTACACCATGTTAACTAGCAGTTAGCTAGCTTTATATAAAATATAGACAATTTGTAGACAACAATAGACATCATTATCATGCTAAAAACTAAAAAAATTCTTTATATTTTTTTATTATTTTATGTATGGGTATTTTGCCTGCATGGATGTCTATGCATCATGTATGCCTGGTGCTCTTGAACACTAGAAGTGGGTGCCAAGTCCCCTAAAACTGGAGTTACAAACAGTTTTGAGTCCCTTGTAGATGCTAGGAATTGAATCTGGGTCCTCTAGAAGAGCAGCCAGTATTCTTAACCACTGAGTTATCTCTCCAGTTCCCTAAAAAAACAAAAAAGCTTTAAGTGATTTCAGAGTAAACTGGCTGAAGACAATGCGTTTTCTCATCTGAACGCTGGCAGGATAAGACTCTGGAAAAATGGCTGAGATGTTAAGAATGTGCTCTTGCAGAGGACCAAAGTTTAGTTCCTAGCACCCTATGTCTGGTTGCTTACAATTACCTGTAGCTTTTGGCTTCTTCAGGCATTTGCACATAGCCCGCCCCCACCCCCACAGAAACATGCATAATTTGAAGAAATAATAAAGCTGGGCATGGTGGTGCATGTCTTTAGTCCCAAAACTTGCAAGGCAGAGGCCAGTAGAGATCTTGAGTTCTAGAACAGATTGGTCTACACAGTGAGTTTGAGGACAGCCAGGACTACATAGTCAAACTCTGTCTAATAAATAAAACAAATAAATCTTAAAATATGTTTTACTGTGATAAATAATTTAGCTCAAAATGTTATGTTCAATATCACTATTCAGAAATTAGTAATTTTTCTGGAGGGGATGCTGTTGACTACTAAAGTCATTACAGTCAATTTTCTTAAAAACAAAATCATGTAGGAAATAATTACAATTTTGAACAGAAGCCAAGATATTAGTGTAAAGAAAACAAAATATTAGATTAACTAGAGAAAGACCCACCTAGTTAACAACTCCATATGTTTTAGTTTTTTCTTTCTTTCTTTTTTTTTTTTTTGTTTTTGAGACAGGGTTTCTCTGTATTGCTTTGGAGGTTGTTCTGGAACTCACTCTGTAGACCAGGCTGGCCTTGAACTCACAGAGATCCGCCTGCCTCTGCCTCCCAAGTGCTGGGATTAAAGGAGTGAGCCACCGATGCCCGTATGTTTTAGTTTCTAAAAACAATCATTTGTTGATTTCTCACATGCTAGCCTGACAGGGCTTTTTAGCATTTCCAAAGGAGGCAGTTCCTCAGCAGATTTGGAAATCAGTATGTAAAATCACCGGTGAGATGTATACTGAGGTTTATGGGTTTTTTAAGACAGGATCTCACTTGTAGCCCAGACTGGTCTTAAACTTTTGGCAATCTTCCTGCTTCAACTTACCCAGTAAGGAGTACAGACTATGATCCCTAGCACTTAACTTTTGATTTGTTTCACACAGAATTTTTATTCATTTCTCTAGGTCATCAAAATAGAACTCACAGAAAGAATAAGGAAGTATCTTACTAATAAAACCTAAGTGATCAAGGACAAAACAAGAGCAATTTCTCTGAGGTTCAATTTTTCCATTCATTAAAAAGGTCATCACATGGTGTTCCAAATTTGTAGGATTCTCATGAGATTAAAAATTGCTAATAGTACCTTGAGATATAGTCTTAAGAATCTTAAATGGTCATGATGGCTCACACTTGTAATCTACAATTCCAGCACTCAGGTAGACATAGGAGGAATACCACAAGTTCAAGATCAGTCAGAGCTACAAGTGAGACTTAGTCTCAAAAAACAAAAACATTAAAAAAAAAAAAAATCTTATTTTAGCAACTAAGTCCAAATATATTGCCCAGACTAGCCTCAAAGATCCCTAGCTCAAGATATCTTCCTGGGCTAGAGAGATTGCTTAAGGCATTGGCTGCTCTTCCAGAGGTTCTGAGTTCAATTCACAGCACCTACATGGTGGCTCACAACTAGTTATAATAGGATCAGATGCTGTCTTCTGGTATGTAGGTATACATGCAGAGCAACCATACATAAAACATAAATAAAATAAAAAGATATCTTCCTGCTTAGTCTCCTGTATGGCTGGTATTATATCATCAAACTCAGGTACTTTGGAAAAATTTGAATGCATGACATCACATAACAGTTAAGAGTGCCCTGTGTTCAAATTTGAGTTCTATTTATTAGCCTTAGTTTTCTTGCTCATTTCCTTCAGAGGCTATATTGAGTGCTGAATAAACTAATACACTTGAGTATTTTCAATAACTTAGCAATAATTAAACATTACAAACATATTTGTGTGTATATGCTAAGTATTATAAACTCACATGAATGTACATATATTTTGCATCCAGTTCTCTTCCTGACCTCAGGTGGCAAGTCAATTTCAAATTTATTTTATTTATAATCATGAGGATAGAATTTCCTAAAAAGAACTTCCTAATTTTGAAGAAAGTCACACCACAGCAGTTCTGTGCATACAGGAAATGATACATTTTAAACAACCACTGAACTATGATTACAAAAACCAATCACTGTGACTAATCTCATTTAAAATGATTGTAGTAAAGTTGCAATTAAAGAGATTTTTTTTGGTAGATTTTTTTTTTTTTTTTTTTTTTTGCTTTGAACTTTGGCAAAGGAGGAAAGATGGCAAGTTGGCTCAGTGGGTGAAAACACTTGATGAAAAGTCAGACAACTGGGGCCTTTAATCCCAGCACTCAGGAGTTCAAGGGCAGCCTGTTCTACACTGTTGAGTTCCAGGAGGATTGCCAGGTTTACATAGAGAGAATCTGTCTCAAAACAGCAGCACCCCCCCCCACCCCAAAGTCGATAATCTGAGTTCAATCCTCAGGACCCACTTGGTGGATGAAGACAGCTGCTGATTCCTGCAAATTGTCCTCTGACCTCCAGCAGTTATGGCTGCTGCTACTTCTGTGCTCACACAAATGTGTGCACTCACACGCACACACTTAATTGTAAAAAACAATAAAGAAATGAAGGCTATAAAAATGGGTACCTCTTTTTTTTTTTTCTGTCTCACTTAGCAATTTCCTACAATATATACATACAGGGATATTCTGCATTGCCAAATATCCATGAATTCAATCAGTACCTGGTTTAAAAACCCATTTTAAGAATTAATTATTTACCAGGTATGGCACAATTTGTCTTTTGGGAGGCAGAGGCAGGTGGCTCTCGAGTCCAAGGCCAGTCTTGTCTACAGAGTAAGTTCTGGGACAGCCAGAGCTACACAAAGAATTTCCAGTCTTGAAAAAGCAAACAACATATTCATGTAAATGAACAATTTCTTTTACTTTTTGTCAGTTTGATATATAGTATTACTCTATAGCATGGGTTGACTTAGAAATTCTATATAGTCCAGACTGACTTCAAACTCAAACTGATCCTTCTGACTCAGCTTCCCAAGTGCTGAGATTAGAGGGGTGAACCATCACCTCTGAAAATGTCTATACTTTTTCTTGGTTTTTCAAGACAAGGTTTCTCTGCGTAGACCAGGCTGGCCTCAAACTCAAGAGTTCCTAGTGTGCCACCATTGCCTGGCTAATTTCTACATGTTGTAAAACAAGCATCCCATGTACTTGACATGGACTTCAAAGTTTCCCATCATTTTAATCTTTAAGTGTTAACAAATACCCAAAAAACTGAAAAGGAACCAAAAATTACTACTGTTATTTAAAGCTCTTCAAAGCTGGGAGTTTTAGCTTCCCCCTTTAATTGGAAATTTCACAAGCAAGTAAATAACCCCGTTCAGTAGTTACAA